ATGATTAGTTTTCAATGAACATTTTTTTTGAAAGTAAATAAATGTTTTAAAGCATCAACAAGAGCCGCAGGAAAGGTTGTTGAGAGCCGCATGCGGCTTTCAAGCCCTAGTTTGAGAATCACTGATCTAATGGATTCATTAACATTATTCATAAGCCTAATAGTTTTAGGATTTCAATTTTGCAACATAAAAACCTTCTTCTCTCACTGGGACATACTTAATTGCACCATAAATACAAGTTACTCTACGAAATAAATGATGAAATAGGGGCCTCAATGAAATTTATGTTTCTCACGACTCAAGAACAAGTTTGGGCGATATTGAGCGACCCGTTGAATTCCAATACTGGTCATGCGCCAAAGCTTTTTTAGCATCAAAAACATGCTGAATATGAAAATCCAGAACCAGGTGGGAAAAAATTCAAAAGCAGTTGCAATCGAGCTGCCTCTTCTTGGAATTACCAAAAGAAATAAACATTGTGCGCTTGTGGTAAATTAGTCGAATTGCTAAACAGCCATACATGCAGCTCTCTAAATTGAGGAGATTCTTTCCTACCGATTCACCATAATGTATAACGGACGAAGCTCTCTACACTCTCTGAATTATTGAGGATGGATTTCCCCTTCAATTTCCATCTATCTATATAGAAATTTATATACCTATATAAATATTGTTTATTCTAGAGCATTTCAGGCTCTCTGGGCTCTCTAGACACTCAATAAAAAAATCTGTTGATAAATTTCGTGCATAAGTGTGTTAATACGTTTTAAATAACACTATTTAGGTAATTGTAAAATACCCCCTTTATATCGGAAAGAATCAAAAGTTCAAGAATCAAACTCCACGCGATAGAATATGAGAATATGTAAACTGCAGTGGCGCACATTGCAATACATTATATCGTGATGGTAGCAACAAAATTGCGGTTTTATGTCAGACATACGGCCCGCGGGCCGGATTCGGGCGGGAAGTAATTTTGATTCAAAATATGTATGAAAGGTCGTGCTCGATTTATGATACAATAGTCTTTATCGCCATTGTTTCACTGTCACCAATTGCCACATTTCGTTAAAGGGGGCAAAGATAAAGATAGTAGGCTAGCGTTTATGATACTATCAGGTTGTATAAAATAATAAATAAAAATTATAAAATATGCTAGTCCTAAAATTACACAGAATGTTATTGTTTTGACTTTATATTGTTCAGTCGAAATTTATTTTTGTTGCAGAAAATATACAATCCCACGTTCGGTAATATAAGCTTTAAAATGCCATACCAATTTCAGTTAAATCGCGACTTAGTTAAATATTAACGCGTTTGGTAAACGCACAACTTGATGAAGTAATAACGCTTTTACTATACAATCTCTGGAATGTCGATTGATATAAATAGATGTTATGCTCTGAAACAGTGCCTCCGCTGACATATACCATTCCATCTAATACTGCGGCACGACGGTCTCCATGTTCAGTTCCCATTTTTTCCATTTATTTCCGTGTGTTTTTATCAGTGTCAAGACGAAACACTCTCTCATTTTCTCCCATGATATGAAAAAAAATGTATAAAATTTATCGAATACATTCGATTTTATTTCATCATGATCCGGAATAATTAGCTTTAAAACCTGCGACGAGGGTAAATGAGTTTTGCTTTTTTTGTGTGTATATGTTATCGTTATTGTTGGTGACTAATAATAATGGAATATTTTGCGATTTGCACTATAAAATAGCGTTTGTTGCAAAATCAATTTTTACACGGGGCAGAGCTACTGAAAAAATATCAAGATGCTTTTTACAGTTTTATTTTAAAGTTGCACAAAATCCTCCATATGGCTGATCGTGGTAACCCCTGGTCCAGATCGAAGGAAATCTAATACTTAGTCATTCAAACGCAATACCACTTTTTACCATAACGTGCTTGTAGTGAATGAGTACGTTGATTTCCATGTGAAACGATTCTGTATTTTTTCGTGTACATATAATTAAAATTTTGATGTCGGTATTGCGTTATTATTTCCTTTTAATTTTTAGTTGTTTTGATTTGATAGGGTAGGTAAGGTGCCATACATATCGAGCCAAAATATGCATATACCGCCACCTCATACACATATACAGCCATTTTATGTTAATGAACATGAACAGCCAATCCATTTATTTTTCCTCCATTTTTCTTCGTTATTAGCGCATAACGATGCACACATACAAATTCAGCCGCTCGTGGTACATGAATACGTAAATAAAAATGATACTTAAAAATGCCAAACAATAAGTTCATTGCAAAGAATATCTTAATGTCGTTGTTGTCACCAGCATACCCACCAGGTGGTTTGGAGTATTATGACATAATACCTTACAACCTCCTTAACGTACTTATCTACTATGAGCGTCTAAATGTGTATGCATCGTGGTGCGTAAACAACACGTTGATACCGCTGAATGATACGGATTTTCTGTACAAAGCTCACCAAGAAAAAAAACCCGCCAACGCTCAAAATAAGAAAATTATTAATTATCGAGTTAGAGTTTTGACTAGGAATGCAGAATTCGTTGTAAATTCAAATTGTCGACTCATTTCTAAACCTAACCATAATCCTAACTGTATAATCACAAATTCGTTATTTTGAACTTGACATTTTTTCTTTAATTTTACATTTTTGCATCGATGGCAGGGGCTTTGTGCAAAGATACAATGAATTTAAATATATCTACTTTACACTTGGTATAAGTAATCTCCTTTATGCAATCGTAACGATACGTCAAGAAGATACGTTTTTTAAAATTAGTGAAAATAACGTAATAGTTAAAAATAAATACTGCGAGAAATGATAGTCTGCAGCAAACTTCAATAGGTTTGTCCACAGTTTACAACGAATTTCTAAACAGTAGTTGTATACGTATAGTAAGCTGGTCGTATATGCATATGGCTTTGAATTCTGTATCAACATCAAACAATAGTCTATAGCTGTATATTGCGTTGACCAGGCATACTATAACTTGAATTGTTGTACATTTTTTCATTTGAATACAAGATATATGCTTATGACATTGACTTTTATATATTCATCTGGCTGTATATATAGTTTATTGCATAGGCTTGCATGTTCATCACTTAAATAGCTGTATATATACATCACGTTACCAACCCAACTCCGATAGTTTAGTTCTTGTGTGTGCATTTTGTGGAATTATAGATTTTGTAATTTTGAACTAATGTAAATAGAAAATACACTTGTCTTAAAAATGACTGAGCATTGAATGGGATGAAAAATTATCTTAAAATTTATATTTTTCATTCATGTATTCGATATTACTAAAAAGTAGTAAAATTGCCATTATGGATATTTTTTCTGGTTTAGTAGTGTTTTATATGCAAGCGTTTTATTTTATTACAAACAAAATGAAATTTCAAACAAAGTCCCCAAAACATGTCAATAAGAGTTCTATATAAAAATCAGAACGCTATTAGATGTAGGCTTGAACTAACCAAGACTTCAGCCAATATACCATATGGTACAAACTGTTTATTCCCGTTGAACAACTAGTAAATTTGTCAAAAGCAAAACCGAATTAGTACATAAAATACTAAACAGCAAACACGATATAGTCTATATCAAAAGTAACCTATTTTAAAAAAAGGTGATCCAAATTACCATTAACTCTTTCGAACAAATTCAGATCATGAGAATACGCACAATAGTAAATGAATGCAATGCCTACCAACGATTTGCATTGCTTGATAAAGTGTATATCGAACCATTTGCAAGTGTGCTCTTTAGGACAACATATGTTGTGGTACTCATTTATGTCTAGCTGCATATCTATAGAAGTATCTCGGAAAATATTTTGGTATTTTTGTCGTTCATTTGATTACTTCCCACATCTTCAGAAATTTCCGCTCATTCTTTGAAAATAGTCTTGGGAAAATTATTAATTCCTCAATTGTTTTTTCAGTAATTCATACCGGGTATATGGTTGTTTTTAAATAGAGAATGTATTTGCATATATCATTTATATTTCGTCAGATGATTCCTTTTTGCTGAATTGTGATGTCAGTTTCCTTTAAAATTATTCACAAATTTCCCGATTGTTGATTTCGACAAAAAAATTATTGCTGTGTCAATATAAATAACTCTCTGTCATTTTTCTGTTATTCGTATTTATTGGCTATGTAAATTGGCACACATAAGTAAGCACTCGATATTGAGTAAATATCGGTTACTATAGTATATAAGATTAGTTTGTAACATCAAATAACTATCCCTGGGACCTTGAATGGTTTAAATCAATCTTGATATTCCATATATTCTTCAGACAATGTAAAGATGAATTTAAATTAAAAATTATTGAGTTCTTGGTGAAAAAATGGGTATTAAAATTTGAATTATTTTGCTCACGGGATCATTATTATTGTTATGAAAGGATTGACCATAAATTTAGTCAAGATGAATAGTCTGATAACAACATTTACCAATATGAACCTACTAAAAAATAGCAAACTTCCTCACGTGTCAAGAAGGGCGCGATTTCTCCGACGTTAAATTTTGCGTCCCGTGATATTTAATCGAATAATAGGTCACATTTCATTATTGGCATTCATTCGATATCACTATATATTTGTCTAAACACCAACTGAAAATGTTATTTATCTTCTGCAGTTATTTTTGAGAACAACTGGGAATGCCTGACAATTATTCCATTTCCGATTTAATTTTGCGAATGAGTTCTGAGTTTGCTGCAATGTTATTCTTTGTATTGCGCAATATCATTTTACATAAGTGTGATTCATTTTTCATTACGTTAATTATATCGTGCTATAGCATCCATTTCTTGATATCATTGCTCGTAAAAGTTATATTGAAAACCAAGATCAACTTCTTTGTAGTCAAAAATTTCACTCATTAAAGCTTGAATAAATAAAATACTTCGGTAACAGATGTTATGACTTAATTCATCGTCGTTAAAACTACAAAAACGTAAATATCACTTCTTGATAATAATTTTCACGGCAATACTAAAATTAAATTCTGCACTTTTGTTATTAAAAATGATAGTAATAACATCAATGTTTATAGAAATAAAATTACTCTTGAAGTTTAGTTTAAAAATAACGTTGTGTGAGCAATCCTAAGGCTGCTGGAAGAAGGAATGTCAGAAGAGTAACAACTGGCATCAAACCTCCGCTTCCTGAAATTAAGAATAAGTGATACTTGAGACCCAGTTTGCTTCTCATGCCTATAATCATTAAAAAAACTGCTATGGCAGTCATGGCTGGACATAACGTATATGATTCGATTTTGAACTTTTCTATTTTTTCAAACATACTATACTACTATGCTATTATAAAATGATGTCTACCGCGATATATTGCCTACTAAGGTGCGGTCCAAGGTCTACCGTGTCACCCGCTGCTCGTATAAAAGGAAGCAATTTGTTGGTAGATACCAGGAAATAATTCCAAATATTTATTATTGTCATTGATGGAATGAATACATGAAAATATTATAACATGTTGTATTTAACCTTTCTTCCTTCAATATGGTGACTAATTTAATTTTCTATTTAATTATTTCCTAGGATATGTACAAATTAGGCGTACATAGCAAAATTAAAGCATATAAATAAGCGATGTGCATGACGAATGGAAAATGCAGCGGTAACCCTTACGCTATAGTACTATCTTGAGATAGGTTTCGTGCTATAATAGCATATAACAATTTTACTTCAAATGATATCTTACCAACGTTGCATCCATCAGTAGTGCATGTGCGATTGCATGTCTCAATTTCAGTGTCACGGGGTTGCGCAGATGTGCATCCATTTCCTATTCCAGCATAGGAACAACCGCGAGTAATTCTACGAGGATATCCCTCCACACTTTCTGTTATAATGAAAATGGAACTATTTTAAAGAATATGTTTAAAATTGTTTAAATTGATCGAGTTCAATTTTGTAAAGTGAATTTAAAAAAAAAGAATATTGGTTCACATACTCCTAGTTCCTTTCTCGAGCCCGCTTTCGTGGATTACACAACTTGAGTGGTATGGATGACTGCATGCAGCTGGCATTGGTGGATTTTCAAGGCATTGATCATAGCTATCAGTATAGTATGTGGCACGTGACGAGCATGTGATACATTCGGGTCTTGCAGCTAAAACGCATTGAGTTATATAACTAGCAAGAAATAAAGTAGAAAATATCATCTACTGACGTAAGATAAACTAATGGTAACCATTGGAATTCGAGAATGCATTAATTTTGGATAACGAAGAAACTACTAGCGGCGTGAAAATAATAATAAGTGTATAATTTTATAAATGAATATTTGAAACATAATATCATATTCAAATCCAGTGTTTATTTAATTAATACATACTCCCAATATTAAACAATGATAACAAAAAAATGAATCCTAAATATGTTTCAAACAAACTAAATGTAAGTTGAAAAAATGTAAAAAAGAACTCACGCCATCCAACGTTACATCCGTCACCCTGGCATGTTTCAGTGCAAGTGACTTTCTTGAAACTGAGACTTCCGACTGAAGCTTCAGCGCATTCTCTTGTCACGGCAGCAGTGGCGCACTCACGTACAACACTAACAAGTTTATATCCTGGATCGGCTGTTATAGGTTTATTTGCGTTAGTGATAGTTTAACATAAACCCTTTCTCAAAAATGAAATATATGTACTCGTATATATTAATGTAAAAAATAAAATGTCTCCTCTGCAAATATCTGCACTATCTGAATAATATATTAGTCATTATTTGCTTGTGGTTGTGCCTCGTAAATATTATAGCCACTCTATGAATGCATATATTTATTAAAATATAATTTATTGGAAAACAGCCAAAATAAGAAATTTAAACAATTTACTAACTTTGCGTTACAGGTATATTTTGTACAAAAGTAATTTATCCACCTGTGTAAGAAAGATCAACTCTGTCAGATATATGGTATATTGCTGTATGTTTGCAATGAGTTGATCCGCTCGGACAAGCTTGTCTTGCTGTTGCTGTGTTGCAGCTACCGTCCCCTGTTGTATCACTACAAACGACACATTGGAGCACAACTGCTTCATTACCGTTGATCACTCCATCAGCTGAAGCACAAATAATATTATCTATTATCATGTCGGTAATCAATTTCCCAAACTGCCGTTTAGTTTTAAATATTTCAAATGTCAAATTGAAATTTTCAATGTTTCATAATGAAACTGTATGAAAAATTATTTCTATGTTAAAAATCGAAAATCGAACCTGTGTTGGTGTTGCAGTCATTGGTATCACAGGTAGAGAAACAGTTAAACTCGCTGTAACCAACACTTGCTAGGTTGATTGGTGAGTCAGTGTAAATATCGTTGAATACACATCGATCAACAGCTTTGAAAGCAGATGTGCAAGCTTTGGTGGTGACAGTGCGTATAACTGCATCGGCTGAATATGGAATAATATATACAAATTGATTTTCCAACTTATTTTTAAGCTTCTCAATTTCCGCTAAATATAACAATTCACTTACATCCATCAAAAATGGTTGATGTTCTTGTAGAGCAATATGCTTGAGTCCCTGGACAATCTACACTTGTTGTTGATGTACTACATCCGCTATCAATTTCAGAGTTACACTGAACACATTTTCTGGAGGCCCTGCTTGAGGTTGAAGCTAGGAAAACAGAGAATATTTAATAGGTTTACTTATATTAATATGAATCCTAATCCTTTTTTCATATTATTACTCTGGATAGATTTTTCATTATGTGTTCAACTCTAATTAGAACGTTTCGACCTATTTCTGAATATATAGTGATATTTGAAGAACTTTCGAGTTGAACATCTTTGTGGCATATATTTCTTTTTCGTTTGGAAAAAATTAGTATTATTAATATTAGTAACACTTTTTTGCTCAAGTCATTTTTTCCGAACGTGAGTACGATATCGTTCTGTACCACGACTGTTTTGGGACATCTAGAGATATTAATAAAACGCATGGTACTTGCACTAGGATTCTCTGTAGCAAAAAAAAAATGATTTCAGTTCAATACAACACTCCATACCACAGGAAATGTTTGTAAAAATCTGTACATTAGAAATTTACTTACTAACTGCCGTGCTGCAATTAGTACCAGACCATCCTGAGGCACAAACGCATACTCCGGTGATATAGTTGCAGCTTCCTCTGTTACAATTATTTGGGCATTGTTTCAATGAGGCTGAAAAACAATTATACAAATAATTCTCTTCTTTTTATCTTGTACAAAAATAATCAATCCTAAATGCAAACCTGTATTTTCAGTGTTACAGTTGTCGGGTGCGCTGCAATGATAGTAGCATTCTGTGATCGCGGTCGGATTGCCGGTAGCATCAATAACAGTTATACATCTATCTGCGGTTGGAACTGCGTTGGAGTGAGTGTCTTCATCAGAAGTACTCGCAGCACAACCTCGCTCAACACCCGTAGTGACACCTTAACAACATTGACAAAACATATATGATTTTATAGTCGTTTGATATCAGTGCAACATTTTTTTGAGAAATCAGTAAAGTTTAACTTTACCGTCAACAACTGTAAATTTTGCATTGCAGTAATGCATTTTCGTTCCGGCATCGGCAGCGCAAGTAGCAGAAGCTGTTGTCCCTGATACAGTAGTAAAACAAGTTTCCGCTGCCTCTCCATCATATTGAGCACCATTGCAAACGTAACAATCCAAGCCTAAAATAATAAATGGTTGTTACAAAATTGTTCAAGACGTCAGTGATCTGAAGATAAGCATAAAAAATAGGTTTTATCGTTTTTAGCAAGCGTGAAACAATCATAGCGAAAACGTAAAATAAACTATGTTATTGAAATGAGAAATTCAATTGGTAATTATTCAAGTTTAATTACATGTTATTGGCTTTTCATACTTTGAATATTTCAAAGTCCGAAAGTGGATATATCAACGTAATTAAGGGACAAACAATTTGTAACACGTTTCGTTTGAATACATTGTTTAAAAAAAGTTGGTATAATTTTTTCTTTGATATTCTAATTTTCACTTTTACAAATTAGATGCATCAATGCCTCTTGTCAAACTTACCGTATGTACGGCCAAGGATACCAAAGATCACAAAAAAAAGTGTTAAATATTTCATCTTTATGTTCAAGTGAATAAACTTTGAATTTCAAAACTGCAAATAAAAATATCGTTGGTATTATTATCGTTGTGCGTTTGTTAAAAAGAACAAAACAACGACTTTACCTAAATTTGAACAAAAATCTCCTATATTAACATCCTGAATTTACGAAAAACTGCTTTCAAAAATATCTTGAATAAATACTGATTCTTTATAGATCAAATAATTATGCCTTAAAATGTACAATATAGTCTCGAATAAAACGATTTTCATCTGTATAATAATTTAATAAGACCAGTATTCAATGTAATAAATAAATCACCTCGATAAAAATTGGATTTGAACCTTTCATCTAGATAAGATACAAAAAATAATTGAATAAAAACTGTTTTTATATTTTCTTGATTAAACAAATCTAAAACTTTTGAAATATTGCTTAATTTTATCGTAGTGAACTACAACTCATGTGCTGGAACATCGCGTGAAGTTTTTCTGATCACCTGGTAATTCAACTGTAGCGTTAGTAGTATAGGAACATAAAAGTCCGAATTCATAACACATTAGAGATCAGACGATATTTGTAATCAATTGCGAGCAAATTAACTCAACTGAAAATTTTCCTTGTGTGCTCCTTATATATAGAAAACGGTAACAATGGCGCGCTATTTTTCAATTTCTGTTGTTTTTTATGTTGGACGATATCTCGGGTCTCTCATCTACATTGAACTTTCCCTACTCTCGTAACGTAGCAACCGGTTTGTAAAATTTCTAATGAATGTCTGAGGGAAACTCTCTATTCTGTTTTCTCGTTCTCATTCTTTCTAGATTGATGTCGGAAAATACTAATATATCACACAATAGTAAATGAATGCAATGCCTACCAACGATTTGCATTGCTTGATAAAATATATATCGAACCATTTGCAAGTGTGCGCTTTAGGACAACATATGTTGTGGTACTCAATTTATACCTAGCTGCATATCTATAGGAGTATCTCGGGAATTATTTTGATATTCTTGTCGTTAATTTGATTACTTGCCACATCTCCAGAAATTTCCGCTCATTCTTTGAAAATAGTCTTAGAAAAATTATCAATTCCTCAATTGTTTTTTCAGTAATTTGTACCGGGAATGTGATTGTTTTTAATTAGAGAATGTGTTTGTATATATTATTTTTATTTTGACAGATGATTCCTTTGTGCTGAATTGTGATGTCAGTTTTCTTTAAAATTATTCACAAATTTCCCGATTGTCGATTACGACAAAAAAATTATTTCTGCGTCAACATAAATAACTCTCTGTAATCTTTCTGTTATTCGTATTTATTGGCTATGTAAATTGGCACACATAAGTAAGCACTCGATATTGAGTAAATATCGGTTACTATAGTATATAAGATTAGTTTGTAACATCAAATAACTATCCTTGGGACCTTGAATGGTTTAAATCAACCTTGATATTCCATATATTCTTCAGACAATGTAAAGAGGAATTTAAATTTAAAATTGATGAGTAATTGGTGAAAAAATGGGTATGAAATTTGAACTATTTTGCTCACGGGATCATTATCATTATTGTTATGAAAGGCTTGACCATAAATTTAGTCAAGATGAAAAGTCTAATGACAACCTTTACCAACATGAACCTACTAAAAAATAGCAAACTTCCTAAAGTCTCGAGAAGGGCACGATTTCTCCGATGTTGAATTTCTCGTCCCGTTATATTAATCGAATAATAGGTCACATTTCATTATTGGCATTCATGCGATATCACTATATATTTGTCTAAACACAAACTGAAATTGTTATTTACCTTTTGCAGTTATTTTTGACAACAACTGGGAATGCCTGACCAATATTCCAATTCCTAATGCGAATTTCTGAGTTTGCTGCAATATTATTCTTTGTATTGCGCAATATCATTTTACATAAGTGTGTTTCATTTTTTATTATGTTAGATAGCATGCTATATCATCCATTTCTTGATATCATTGCGCGTAAAAGTTATATTGAACACCAAGATCAACTTCTTTGTAGTCAAAAAATTTTGGTATTGAAAAAAAAGCATGAGCACCGTGGGAGTACATCTTAACTCATACGCTAATCATATAACACAAATAATAAACTTCATGAAACTTTATTCAATAGTCACGACTCATTAAAGCTTGAATAAATAATATACTTCTGTTACAGATGTTATGGCCTAATTCATCGTCGTTAAAACTACAAAAACGTAAAAATCACTTTTTGATAATAATTTTCACGGAAATACTCAAATCAAATCCTGCACTTTTGTTAATATAAAGAAAAGTAATAACATCAATATTCATAGAAATAAAATTACTCTCGAAGTTTAGTTTAAAAGTAACGTTGTGTGAGCCATCCAAAGGCTGCTGGAAGTAGGAATGTCAGAAGAGTAACGACTGGCATCAAACCTCCGCTTCCTGAAATTAAGAATAAGTAATACTTAAGACCCAGTTTGCTCCTCATGCCTATAATCATTGAAAAAATTGCTATGGCAGTCATGGCTTGACATAACGTATAGGATTCGATTTGGAACTTTTCTATTATTTCAAACATACTATGCTACTATGCTATTATAGCATGATGTCTTCCGCGATATATTGCCTACTAAGGTGCGGTCCAAGGTCTACCTCGTCACCCGCTGCTCGTATAAAAGGAGGCAATTTGTTGGTAGGTACCAGGAAAGAATTCCAAATATCTATTATTGTCATTGATGGAACGAATAGATGAAAATATTATAACATGTTGTATTTAACCTTTCTTCCCTTAAAATGGTGACTAATTCAATTTTATATTTAATTATTTCCTAGGATATGTACAAATTAAGCGTTCATAGCAAAATTAAAGCATATAAATAGGCGATGTGCATGACGAATGGTAAATGCAGCGGTAACCCTTACGCTATAGTACTATCTTGAGATAGGTTTCGTGTTATAATAGCACAAAACAATTTTACTTCAAATGATATCTTACCAACGTTGCATCCATCAGTAGTGCATGTGCGATTGCATGTCTCAATTTCAGTGTCACGGGTTTGCGCAGATGTGCATCCATTTCCTATTCCAGCATAGGAACAACCGCGAGTAATTCTACGAGGATATCCCTTCACACTTTCTGTTTTAATGAAAATGGAACTATTTTAAAGAATATGTTTAATATTGTTTAAATTGATCGAGTTCAATTTTGTAAAGTGAATTTAAAAAAAAGAATATTGGTTCACATACTCCTAGTTCCTTTCTCGAGCCCGCTTTCGTGGATTACACAGTTTGAGTGGTATGGATGACTGCATGCAGCTGGCATTGGTGGATTTTCAAGGCATTGATCATAGCCATCAGTATAGTATGTGGCACGTGACGAGCATGTGATACATTCGGGTCTTGCAGCTAAAACGCATTGAGTTATATAACTAGCAAGAAATAAAGTAGAAAATATCATCTACTGACGTAAGATAAACTAATGGTAACCATTGGAATTCGAGAATGCATTAATTTTGGATAACGAAGAAACTACGAGCGGCGTGAAAATAATAATAAGTGTATAATTTTATAATGAATATTTCAAACATAATATCATATTCAAATCCAGTGTTTATTTAATTAATACATACTCCCAATATTAAACAATGATAAAAAAAAATTGAATCCTAAATATGTTTCAAACAAACTAGATTTAAGTTGAAAAAATGTAAAAAAGAACTCACGCCATCCAACGTTACATCCGTCACCCTGGCATGTTTCAGTGCAAGTAACTTTCTTGAAACTGAGACTTCCGACTGAAGCTTCAGCGCATTCTCTTGTCACGGCAGCAGTGGCGCACTCACGTACAACACTAACAAGTTTATATCCTGGATCGGCTGTTATAGGTTTATTTGCGTTAGTGATAGTTTAACATAAACCCTTTCTCAAAAATGAAATATATGTATATATTAATGTAAAAAATAAAATGTCTCCTCTGCAAATATCTGCACTATCTGAATAATATATTAGTCATTATTTGCTTGTGGTTGTGCCTCGTAAATATTATAGCCACTCTATGAATGCTTATATTTATTACAATATAATTTATTGGAAAACAGCCAAAATAAGAAATTTAAACAAATTACTAACTTTGCGTTACAGGTATATTTTGTACAAAAGTAATTTATCCACCTGTGTAAGAAAGATCAACTCTGTCAGATATATGGTATATTGCTGTATGTTTGCAATGAGTTGATCCGCTCGGACAAGCTTGTCTTGCTGTTGCTGTGTTGCAGCTACCGTCCCCTGTTGTATCACTACAAACGACACATTGGAGCACAACTGCTTCATTACCGTTGATCACTCCATCAGCTGAAGCACAAATAATATTATCTATTATCATGTCGGTAATCAATTTCCCAAACTGCCGTTTAGTTTTAAATATTTCAAATGTCAAATTGAAATTTTCAATGTTTCATAATGAAACTGTATGAAAAATTATTTCTATGTTAAAAATCGAAAATCGAACCTGTGTTGGTGTTGCAGTCATTGGTATCACAGGTAGAGAAACAGTTAAACTCGCTGTAACCAACACTTGCTAGGTTGATTGGTGAGTCAGTGTAAATATCGTTGAATACACATCGATCAACAGCTTTGAAAGCAGATGTGCAAGCTTTGGTGGTGACAGTGCGGATAACTGCATCGGCTGAATATGAAATAATATATACAGTTTGATTTTCCAACTTATTTTTAAGCTTCTCAATTTCCGCTAAATATAACAATTCACTTACATCCATCAAAAATGGTTGATGTTCTTGTAGAGCAATATGCTTGAGTCCCTGGACAATCTACACTTGTTGTTGATGTACTACATCCGCTATCAATTTCAGAGTTACACTGAACACATTTTCTGGAGGCCCTGCTTGAGGTTGAAGCTAGGAAAACAGAGAATATTTAATAGGTTTACTTATATTAATATGAATCCTAATCCTTTTTTCATATTATTACTCTGGGTAGATTTTACATTATGTGTTCAACTCTAATTAGAACGTTTCGACCTATTTCTGAATATATAGTGATATTTGAAGAACTTTCGAGTTGAACATCTTTGTGGCATATATTTCTTTTTCGTTTGGAAAAAATTAGTATTATTAATATTAGTAACACTTTTTTGCTCAAGTCATTTTTTCCGAACGTGAGTACGATATCGTTCTGTACCACGACTGTTTTGGGACATCTAGAGATATTAATAAAACGCATGGTACTTGCACTAGGATTCTCTGTAGCAATAAAAAAATGATTTCAGTTCAATACAACACTCCATACCACAGGAAATGTTTGTAAAAATCTGTACATTAGAAATTTACTTACTAACTGCCGTGCTGCAATTAGTACCAGACCATCCTGAGGCACAAACGCATACTCCGGTGATATAGTTGCAGCTTCCTCTGTTACAATTATTTGGGCATTGTTTCAATGAGGCTGAAAAACAATTATACAAATAATTCTCTTCTTTTTATCTTGTACAAAAATAATCAATCCTAAATGCAAACCTGTATTTTCAGTGTTACAGTTGTCGGGT